TTATCATTTCAACAAAGACATTTCTTAATATCAATTTGTAACCTGTAATGAAACTATTGATCAAACCATTACACCAAATTACATGTATTTCCTCTAAAATAAGTTTCCAACTTCCCCCTGGTGATGTTATTCAGTGTAAACTCGAGACAGTTCACACATAAAATTGATGGGTATTTCATAGGTGAAGGTGAGGTGAAATTGGGTTTAACGTCGTGCTTGAGAATATTTCGCTCATATGACGACGTGCATGCGTGTGTATGTGTATGTGCGGCTGCTTGTACTAGCCCAGACTTAAGCTGGTTTTATAGTGCTAGCCCACTGAGATACCATGCCACAGTGAAGCATGAATACCCCAATCAGAGACATTATACTGACTCCGAGCCGACCAGTCCCTGTTGTACCCATTCATGCCGAGCACCAGGCAGGGATCAACAAGTACCATATTTTAACGTCTTTTGGTATGAGGCGGTTGGGGATCGAACCCGCGACCTTCCGCTCTCCGGGCGGACACTCTAACCACTACACTAAGGAGGCGGTGGTATTTCATAGAACTTATAAACCACAACTAAAGGCCTTTGATCCTAGAGCTTGTGGAGTCTTATCTCCTAAGTTTACTAGTGGATCTGTTTTGCCTATTTTGTCCAACATATACACCTCCACGATCATGTATCCTAATAACTTTCACGAACAGAAGTCCTGAATTAATTTCCCAAATATGTCACCATCTTTACAACTTTTAATGAATTCTATATATTACCATAGTCACCTCATATAAAATTTCCATGTCATTATACCACATGATTTCTATAAAATTGTTATAAATGTACATCATTTATGCATGAAATGTATCTATATTTCTTGTACCTGCTGTGTTTATATTTGTAGTTTATAGAATATTGCCACTGTTTCTTCATGGAATACTATGCAATAAATATCTTATCTTATCTATCTACCAGGATGTGTTGCTGCTGGTTAGAATTCAGTAACCATGCTTGTTGTAGGAAACTACAGGGATAGATAGTCAGGCCTGTTGATCCGATTGATGCATGACTGTGTCTCGACTGCATTGATTGATACTCATGTCAATCAGTGGATTGTCTGGCCCAGACTGTTTACAGAGCCGGTCATTTAGCAGTAATATTGCTGAGAGTGTGTGCATCAACAAACCTGAAACTTGTAAGTCACAACCCTTACTTCCAGAGTAAACCTTATTATCATGAACATAAACATTACATATTTATCTATGATTCTTATAAGTGCTCCTCACAAGCAATTAGAAATAAATAATATTTTTTCATGTTACGATTTTGTTTTCAATCAGATGTTTGTTTTCAATCAGATGTTTCTAAATTCAGAGGTATGGCTGTGTGATACAATGCATTCAATAAGTACAAGGAGTACAATATCAATGTGAATAAGTAAATGCTGTTTTTGGCCACATTCATAATTATTCCAGCTCGACAAGATGGCATGTAATTAAGTGATGATAGATTTAATTTACAGTCGGCAATATTCCAGGTTCATCATGTTGTTGGAGGTCTGTGGTTGCGTGAGTGAATGTGTGTTTACAATGGAGTCAGCAACACACCAATACATTCTGTGTGCACTACAGAGAATGGAAGCAAACCACTAGTGGTTATCTTGAACAATGAATGAGTGAGTATGGTTTAACGCCGCTTTTAGCAATATTCCAGCAATATCATGGCAGGGGACACAGAAATGGGCTTCACATTTTCTTGTACCCATGTGGGAAATAGAACCGGGTGGAAACATCTTCCTTTACTATGTGCTAAGATTGAACTCTAGTGAACGCTTTAACCACTAGGCTACCCCACCGCCCCCCATGAACAATGAATGATGACACATGAAGCAGGTCTTCCTCACTAATCTACCCTGTTCTCATCTCACAGTTATTGTGACAAATGAGTGAGGTTTTATGCTGCTTTTAACAATATTCCAGCAATACCATGGCAGGGACATAACAAATATGTTTCACACATTGTACCCATGTGGGGAATCAAACCCCAGGTATCACGTGTGATGCGTGAACGCTTTAACCACTAGGCTACACCACTACTCCTATTGTGATAAGCTTGAGTCCCATTCTCTCCAAGGAGTTTGGTTTTCACTTAATAGCAATATTGATCTCAAATACAATGCAATATTTTCTACTCCCCAAAAGAAATAGTGGGGATTCGAACCTCGGTGTAGGAACATTTTACACTAGACTTTGCAAAGCAACTCGTTTAATTTCAACCATGATTTCCGAAGTGCATAAAGTAAATACTTTACAATTATCTACACAAACGTGATCTAAAGACGTGTTCCACACAGTGGACAGATTGAGTTCAAACCTGTGATTCCATTGTAAAGATATTCCCAGTGTTTCAACATCCTCATGTTGTCATGCAATCAGACAGCAGCCCATCCAAGTAGGCAACGTGGGCATATAATGAGACAAGTGGCCCCCAACTGGCAACGTGTCGATTGTGTTGCTTCTCCAGCCTCATTCTCAGTCTTTATGGTGGCTCTATTTGAAGAAGCCTACTTGCATGAAATTCAATTTAGAACGGGGAGAAAAGTAAAGTGTACATAGTCTGTGACTTAGAAAGAAGTTGTAAATTAACTGAGATGCATTTATTTGTTGAGAAAGTCTTTCAACGTAACACATACCTCCCTTCAAACCGTTCTCTTTGCCAACAGAAAGTACTTAACCCTATGGCAAATGCTACGTCGTTTCACCATTATCCATCCTCGAAAACTAACTAGGATAGGCTCCAATCTTTAGCTACACAAACATGGTTTAATCATCATGGTAATTATGAAGTTTCCTTTCTGCTTTTCTTGACTAAGAAGTAATTTTGTCGAAACATCTCAGGAAATTGTCCTCTTTGTTATTCATGAACCTAAATACATAAATTTATGAAAAATGATATTGTCCACATACCATAAACCAACAAGAGCCGTTTTTGTAATACATATGAAATCTAAAATCCTCACATCACTGACACAAGAATGTCTGGGAATGAGACAAATCTCAACTCTTCTAAAACCAATTTCACATTTAGCATATGCATAAACAGCAAGCAGGAGAAGAAAGGAGCATGAAAAGAATGGTGTAGTTGAAGCCTGAGCAGTTCCGCCCAGCATGGGCCCTGAGTGTACATGCTGTAGGCATGGCCGAGAAGAGCCGGCTGTTGTCATCAGTCAAACTGCAACAACATTGTGACAGGCGCCAGCTCGTGCATGAAGCTGAGTCAAGGTGCCATATTCTCATTCTGACATCCTCTTAAAACATTCAGTAACTGACCTACGGTTCCCTGGTGTGACGTGTGGAATATTGCTGACTGCGGCATTTAAGAACAATCATTCTTTGAGGAATGAGTTTAATGCGGTTTTGAACTGTAATCCACGAACATTAAGGCATGTCTGCTAAATGTAAAAGCCAGGGCCTAGATTTTTTAAGCTCTCTTAGCGCTAAAATATTCGTAAGTGCCATACATTAACATTAACTTATGACTATCTTAGCGCGCTAAGAGAGCTTCGAAAATCTAGACCCTGAACAGGTACAGGTCTTGGATGTTAATCTCTTTAGTCAAACCCAAGCATGGCTATGGTGCTGACAAACTTACAAAATAATTGTCTGAGTAATTGGGATGAACTTTGATTTAAATCCGCAAGCACAGGTTTTTTGGCCTGCAAAGGCGACACAACTTTTAATAGTAATGACTTACTGGGCCATCTTCGTCCCTGATGTTATCACTGTCTGATACGACATTCTTCTATATATGTCTTGAAATTATGAAAATATATGCAACATTTTGTGTGAATATAATTCAGTAACCTAGAAATAATCACGCTGAAAAGGCACATATTTTGACTGATGATCTTAGCTACCTTGTTTTCTAATAACCCTGGCCTAGCTAAAAGATATAATGACAACAAACTATGTGACAATCAACAATGTTAGATATTGTCAGGTTTATATACTTCATTTCACCTCACTGCAGGCTTCCAACTTGGGCACCATAAACCAATAAAACACATCATATATCACAGCACATAATCAGGTCATCTAAGCACATATTGACCATCAAGCACATGATGTGGGTGGCACTAAGCTGGTGAAGCACAGGGTTATGGATATAAACAGTGCAACTTCAACATTCAACAGAAACAAGGACTTTATATATTACTGAGTACTATTTTGGACAACATCTCTGAAATAGGAAAGAATTGGGTGCTCCTTTACTTTTTACGAGTGGGATATTTTGACACATACATTCTTATAAAAATGCCGATGGATGATTTAGGGCCAGAAAATTTTAGATATTTATAAAGCACCTTCACCAAAGGCATGGTGGGACTAGAGCCAAAATGACTTTAAATGATGTACACATTTTGATTTAGCATTTGAAACATTAAAAATGGGTGCTGTGCACAATAGAGTAATAAGCATACAGCAATTTCAAGAGGCCAGTGCTTTTCAACCATGAACCCAAAACATAAACTGTACGTAAGTTAAACGATCAAAAGCTCTCATGCAAAAGAGCAGAACGTGTTGACAAGTATGCTAGTGAATTAGTCTAGGCTATGTACTAAAATGTTTTTCTGCCGAACTAAACTAGTCAGCCTATGGCTAAGTGTTTGAGTCAAGGTGCGTGATTTATTATATCTACACTGTGACAACTGATAGCAAACGAACTTGAAGCAAAGCCTCAGTGCAAGACAGGCATGTGAGTATTGTTGCAACAAAGGTGTCTGGAAGCCTAAGTGTCAGCTGAAACAAGCAAGAAGCTTGGTGTTCTCACACCTTGGTGCCATGTGCTACAATCATGTGCCAAGTGTTACAATCATGTGTTACAATCATGTGCAAGATAACAAGGACAGGTGAACATAGCAGCAAACAACATGCAAATTGTGAGCGAACGTGCATGTTTCGCCGCATCCATGCAGTTGGCAACACCAATGCTGTGAGCAGAGAAAGGTGAAGGTCTTACCGAGGTGGGCGGTGTGTCTGTCCCTATACTGACTAGAATGATTATGTCGCGAGCTCCGGCTCGAGGGTCGGTCTAACACAACCAAAGAGAGAGAGAAAGACAGGTCAGTCTCATGCTACAATCAAATTAAACAACCATACATGTGATAATACAAGGGCCAAAACAGGTGAAAGGCTACAAGTCTGAAATATTTCAGGGACGTTATGACAGTTATACAACAGAGGGATGGGGTAAATATATCCATACTGAACTAATCTACTGCTCAATGTGACAACTTCCTTTTTCTCTGTCCAAACAATATCATTTTTCAAAGACAAAAATCCTATAAAATTATATTCAGAATTATTTAGCTGGATACAATTTTAATCTTTTTAGAAGTTGCTGGTCAGATCCCTCCCATCCAAATGCAATATATTTAATTATTTCCAACCTACTCTGCCAATAAAGAATTGACCCAATGAGGGAATGGGAAGTTTTGTTGTATCACATGTATGACCCTGTTAAAACAGATAATATCATGTCATGCATCATTTCTGGTCACATCAAAACTGAAAGAAAAGAAATAAATAAGCTACAAAGTAATCTTACCCATGCGTTCATAATAAAAACGTAAGTAAAAGCATGTTGAATATTAAAGTTATTTGTGTTGGTCTGGCTTGGATCATGCAGAGCTACCTGAGATCAAGATTAGGAAAAGAAATCCCTGGACAAATGTAAATCATTTATGTTGTATTCAGTAGCACAGTAAGAGGGTATCTTGGGTCTACGAAACACAACCAACTAAACTGCCTCATTTGATGTAAGATCTCATTTGAAATAGGAGCATAAGCAACTTAACCTAATGATAGTTCTGAAAAAATCTGTGAGATTGCCAAGAAGGATCAATGACCTATGACTGACTGACTGAGTTTGGTTTTACGCTGCTTTTAGCAATATTCCAGCAACATCACGGCCGGGGACACCAGCAATGGGCTTCACACATTGTACCCATGTGGGGATTCGAACCCGGGTCTTCGGCGTGACAAGCCAACGCTTTAACCACTAAGCTACCCCACCGCCCTCAATGACCTATGAAGATTTGATCAAACATTAACATACTTTTACAAGTACCATCTCAGATTGAAATGCAGAGTAAAAACTTCAAAATTAAAAATATCTTGCACTAGTCATCCAAATAATCTGGTGAAGACTTGTCATTAATCCACAAGGATATGTCACCGATCCTTCCTGAAGTATACCAATCTGGGACTAGTGGACGTACGCTAATTTCAAACTCTGAACTACAAACCCTGAACTGATCGTGAAGCAACCTTTTATCAAACATAGTTGTAACCTTTCCTCACATACATTTCTTAGTATATCTCCTTGAAATAAGCCCAAAGTCTTTTCATGTCAGTTCGACAATAGCATCTTTCAAAATGGCCACCACTTGATGCTATCTGGTGGACAACTAGAGACATGTGGTAAGCAGATCAGGCTGCTACCAGACAACTACTTCTGATATTTATCCTTATGCTCTTCCTATGACAGGAACCACATCAATCAAGAATCAGTACTAATCAAACTGCCATTAATATTCATTAAAAAGATCAGCCAGTCTCGTGTAGTTTGTCATCTTGACAGTCTCCTCGTTATCATTTGTCTCAACTTCAAAGAAAAACTGGTTCCAGTATCTGATGCATATTTTGTGCTGAATGGAAACTTACCTAAAAAGATATGATTCTGTTTGAAGTATAATTGTGCATATGTACTTAAACTTTTCCCTTCAGTTAGGGCTTTATTTCATTATAACGCTTTAACAACCTTTTGAAACCTCACTATTAGGAACGTCTGACAATTGATCTAAAGAGTGTTAAACAAGAAACAGATGAAAAGAAACATTAACAATATTACTGCCCACAAAAGATCAAACTGGAGTTGAACAATACCAATTTTAACGCCTTCACCATCAGTTGAAGATGTGTCAAGTTACAAGTGCTAACATAACCGCTGTCTATTTAGCCTTGAGCTGACGTTGCTTTCATGCTCTCTGTAATTGTTCTCAAAGGACTACCAGAAAACCCAGCTTCTGTTTCAAAGACGTTCATCAGGTAAGGAAAGATGAATTTTTCGTTCATCAGGTAAGGAAAGGTGAATTTTTCAAAAACATATTTAGAAAAACCTTTGCAATTTACAAAATGCTGCCTAATTAACCTGTAACCTGATTACTTAATTCAGTAATTGAAAGAGTTAGTCAGGTTTTATATTCTTTGAGTTTCATAACAGACTTACAAAAGTGATAGATGTCTAGAAAATGTTTTCACACACGGTTCCCATATGGGAATGGAACCCATTTCTGTGGCATGACAAGCTAAACTTTCCAGCTAAACCTTTGGGAACGTAATACTATGGAAGGTTCTTCCTAAACAAGCAAAGAGCACATAATTCTTTTATGAGTGAGCGAGTTTAGATTTACGCCGCTTTTAGCAATATTCCAGCAATATCATGGTGGGAGACACCAGAAAATGGCCTTCACACATTGTACCCATGTGGGGAATAGAACCCCTGTCTTTGGTGTGACAAGCGTGCCCTTTAACCACTAGGCTACCCCACCGCCCCCCATGAACAATGAATGATGACACATGAAGCAAGTCTTCCTCACTAATCTACCCTGTTCTCATCTCACAGTTATTGTGACAAATGAGTGAGGTTTTATGCCGCTTTTAGCAATATTATAGCCTTATAATATTATGAATTCTAATACTTTCGACTTCACGTTGTATTAATTTTTCAGCAGGTTACATGCAAGATTTGAAAAAGATATTGTCTTCACGCTTTAGGGCAAGAGAAATTATTTGTTAAGCAACACAAAGGTGAACGGTATTCAATGTCTTAAACATCCTGCCCTTTCAATTTTGATGAAGATAAAAATGATAAGGATACTGACATTTCATATTTTTTCAAGAGCAAAATGCCACATTTAAAAAATCACACATCCTGTATTTTTACTTAAGTGATGATGGCTCATAGACGATCAAAACTATAACAGACTAAGTTGATCATAGATTTAAATATGCAGATAACTTTGTGGAACAGCATTCTGTCTTGTTCAAGCTGAGATCAGGTGTAATTGGGTTTTACGTCATGCTTGAGAATATTTTCTCATATGACGACTTGCATGCGTGTGTATGTGTATGTGCGGCTGCTTGTACTAGCCCAGACTGAAGCTTGTTTTATAGTGCTAGCCCACTGAGATACCATGCCGCAGTGAAGCATGAATACCCCACTCAGACACATTATACTGACTCCGAGCCGACCAGTCCTTGTACCAATTGATGCCGAGCGCCAGGCAGGGACCAACAAGTACCATATTTTAATGTCTTTTGGTATGGCACGGTCGGGGATCAAACCTGCGACCTTCCGCTCTCCGGGCGGACGCTCTAACCACTACACCACGGAGGCGGTCCTTGTTGAAGGTGAATTTATCAAAGCATGCCATATGAGTGAGTTATTTCCTGTTATGTCTTGGTGTGTCAGCCTCATGTAGGAAGGAAAGGTGATGCCACTTCGGTGAAACCCACAAGTGTATGTATGGTTCTAAAAATCCAGAAACATACTTGGGGCCAACCATGTTTCAACCCACAGTCCCAGGTTTCTGGGAAGTCAGAGGTTCTTAAAATCCCAGAAACATACTTGGGGCCAACAAGGTTTCAACCCACAGTCCCAGGTTTCTGGGGTGTCAGAGGTTCTTAAAATCCCAGAAACATGCTTGGGGCCAACCAGGTTTCAACCCACAGTCCCAGGTTTCTGGGGTGTCAGAGGTTCTTAAAATCCCAGAAACATGCTTGGGGCCAACAAGGTTTCAACCAACAGTCCCAGGTTTCTGGGGTGTTAAAGGTTCTTAAAATCCCAGAAACATACTTGGGGCCAACCAGGTTTCAACCCACAGTCCCAGGTTTCTGGGGTGTCAGAGGTTCTTAAAATCCCAGAAACATACTTGGGGCCAACAAGGTTTCAACCCACAGTCCCAGGTTTCTGGGGTGTTAAAGGTTCTTAAAATCCCAGAAACATACTTGGGGCCAACCAGGTTTCAACCCACAGTCCCAGGTTTCTGGGGTGTCAGAGGTTCTTAAAATCCCAGAAACATACTTGGGGCCAACCAGGTTTCAACCCACAGTCCCAGGTTTCTGGCTTGCACCCCCCCAGACACACGAGCAAAGCAAGGTCATATCTATGCAAGTGGTTCTTTATGTATTTAGAATAAGATTACAAATTTGCAAAGGTCACTGGACTGCCTGTCTGCTGGATATATATACATGTATGCTCTCTGATATTCATCAAAGATTTACAGACAGGCTTTTGTCTCTGTGGGAGGGATAGGACTTCAAAGTAAGACAAGAATCCTCCACAGGGATCCTTGGTTAAGATTGAAGTCGGAAAGATCAAAGGCATCGTTAACCTGTTGAGTCGACAACGACTTGTGCTGAACACACTGCTCTCTGACAGAGTGGTTCCAGTCAATCACTGTGGCAATATTGTCCATACATTTACTGGGTATCAACAAACTTATGATCTATGCTTCCTTTGTTGTAACCATGGGGGTAAAGTTAGCTTACAGAAGATCTTTAAACTGTCATCACATCATCTGCACCCTTTCCTCATCACAACAGTAAGGCTGATGGGGGACTATGTATACAGAACATTCCTGGACTAACAGTCATTACCTATGATCTCAACATTATGTCCTCATAATATCAGTGAGGTGGGGTAGCATAGAGGTTAAAGCTGTTCGCTTGCCATGCAGTCAGTGATAGACCAAGAATAAGAAACATCTCAAATCTGGGTTTGGAACCAATTACGATCTGATTCTGACAAGGGAGATAACTCTACATGCCACCTCATGGTGTTTCAGACCACTGGTAGTCTGTCATACAGACCCTGAAGCAAATATATCCATGAAAGCCCAAGCAAGTCTAGAAAATGTTGCAAGTCTAGATTTTCACAGCTTCTGAAAATGAAGAAAGTCTCAGGGCTCCTTTTCATAATATATATATTTTTTTCCTATGAGCTTTTTTTCCCTGTAAAAATGTTCA